AAGATAACAGGTTGTTTTTCTAAAAGGGTTACTTTTTTTACACAAAATGACCCAAAAATCTCATTTTTCGACTTTTTTGAGTTACAACAGTTTAGTTTCAAAGTGACGAAATGTCTTTCATACGTAATCGACCCATCAGAGAGAAACAAAATTCTATTATATCTTACTTATATTAGGGTAATTATATAATACATTTATTTGGTTACAACACAGTGAAAAAATTACCTTTCTATTTGGAATTGCTAAAATTCTAATAATAATTAAGACCCGATTGTATATATTGGTAAGGTTTGTGCAGTTTGTTTTAAATTGTTTTTTTCTCATTGTTTAAATATGGATTAAAAGCACAATTAAATTTATAAATTTAAAACACCACCAATATTAGAAGCAAAATAAAATATAAATTGCCATTCTATGTCAACAGATCCTTATATTGAGGCAATCAAATGGCATAAAATTTAAAAACTAATCTTAGGGAAAATTGCCTATTAAGGAAACAATTAAACGAGTTACAAATAGTAAAATCACCAAAAATAGTGTTGAAATAGTAAAAGTGGATTAAAATGGTGTGAATGACGAGGACAGTTCAAATCCAACCTAAGAACACCATGAGATTTTTAAAAAATTTTAAAGTCACTAAAAGTCCAGTTTAAAGGATAGTCATCCTGGCTGAAAATCAAAATCGCTGAACCAGAGTCTCCGGTGATTAGGTAATTAAAGCGAGAAAATTAGAGTTGACTCAGTAGAAATGGAAACGCTGATCCGTACGGTAGTTGACGGCCAGAGTTAGTAAAAATTTACAGTGAGTTTAATGTATCTTCCAAAGTTGTTTTGATAATGTCTTTGATGATTGATCTGCAGTTCAGGGTAGAGTAAATCTGGTGTTCTGTTTTGGTATGAAAATTGTTGCCTCCTCGTGTTTGAAATTTAAGACATTGAAAAATTAGGTGATGAATGTCTTGTTGTGAGTTGCAATAAGTACATGTTGAAGATTGCCTAAAAAATCTTGCTTGGTGTGTGCCAAACACGCCGTGGCCGGTTAAGAACTGATTAGTATAAAAGTTTACCTTCATTCTTGTAGTTTTTGGATCCTTAAAGAATTTGTAAGTCTGCCGTCCTTTTGTACTGTTGGTCCAGTCCAATTTCCATCGAGCCATAATATGGTTGTTGATTATAGATTTGATCTGAATGGGGGTCAGCCAGGTAGTATTTTCTATGGTGTCAAGTCTGGTGGCTTCTTTGGCTAGTTGGTCCGCCTCCTCATTGCCGGCATGCCCAACGTGTGCTTTAATCCAATTCAGTGAGATACTCTGTCTCCAAGCATGTTTTATGTCTTGGACAATCGTATTTTTATGTGTGGGGTCAGCCAGTGCATGCAATGAGGAGAGTGAATCTGTATAAATTGTAGTTTGTTCTTCCTGTTTTGCTGCATAATTTATTGCTTCTCTAATCGCCATCAAGCTCGGCCTCAAAAACTGAGCAATAATCGGATGCTCTGGAGGAGGTCTTCGCAATAGTGATGCCATTATACTTAATGATTACTCCGAAACCTGTCCTGACGTTTGACATCCATCCTGAAGCCATCCGTATATATTTCTAAACCATTATTATCTGGAAAGTTATATCCCCAAGGCACAGCGAGTTGAGTGGCGGAGTGAACTGGGACTTTTGTAGAATGTCATCTATTTTCCAGCCCCATTTAATGCGTTTGTTGAAGATTGTCTCAATAACCTTCAAATGAATAGGTTTAATACCCGCCAGTATCTGGATAGATTCAGTAGTATTTAATTATTTCTATATTTTACGAAAATCAATGTTTTTGAAAATAAAATGCTTAAATACTAATGAAGAATTCTTAGATTTGAGAATGTAACTTAATATAGTGATTAGATATGTGTTTCTATTTTGTATACAATTATTTCTATATTTTACAAAAAACAATGTTTTTAAAAATAAAATACCTAAATGCTAATGAAGAATTCTTAGATAGTAAAGCAAAATAAAACTTGTTATTGTATGCTAATTTGATATATAACTAATTTTATGTACCATGGCTAAAGAAGAATAACTGTTTAATATATATATATAATGTTAATGCAAGCTAATACACTACTGGAGAAAAGGTGTTATGGTTGGTTTCTAAAATAAATTTATTGTTATGAAACTATTTCTCCTCTTTTAGAAAGTAAATATGTTAAATTTTTATATATCATTATTGAGAAAAATGTTTTTAAACAGTATAACAACCTAATATTTTTTTATAGAAATGTTTTAAATTTACTACTAATGTGAACAAAAATTATGCATTCCTCGTTTCGCTGGACTATAATTATTGCATTTGAAGTACATAGTCGTTTTGGAATTTATTTTTATCATTTTTATACTGCAAGAAAAAGTTTTTGACCATTACTACGTTTAGATGTCAGCTATAATTAAAATATATTATATTGATGTTGCTAAAAGAAAGACTGAAATAAGAATTGTCGAAAAACTTCAAGGTGGTTATTTATAGTCAAAAATGGTCAAAGGAGTGCAGTTGAAATTTGTTATTTTCCTGAATTTTGTGGGCTAACTTCACGCTTCCCCCCATATTTTTAGGATTACGGCTTAAATAAGGGTGTACAAAAAAATTTAAAAGGTGGTTATTTCTGGTCAAACGAATGCAGTGGAAATTTTAAATTTTCCTGATTTTGGGGGGCTAACCACGTGCTTTTCCCCAAGTAAAATGTTTAGGATTACGGCTAAAATAAAGGTGGTAAAAAAACTAAAAGGTGGTCATTTGTGGTCAAACGAATACAATATAAAAATTGGATTTTTCTTTATTTGGCGTAAAAATGCGAAGTTAGCCCCCGAATTTAATTTTTAGAATTATGTTCAATTTAAGGGTGATCAAAAAAAATTAAGGGTGTTCATTTGTGGTCAAACGAATGCAGTATGAGTTTTAGATTTTCCTCATTTTAGGGGGCTATCTTCGCGTAGCTCATCTTTATTGAATTTCTTATCGTACATTTGCTTTTTTAAAATTTGAAACAGGCTCTCCAATCGAACAATTTTCTCTCTGTACCCTATCCAGAGCTACACTAATTGGTTTTAACTGCTGCAAGTAATCTTCTGCATTTCTTTTCAATGAAATGTTTGAAATTAAATTTTCCACATTTTTATCAATCTGATCTTTATAACTTTCACACATGTTTACTAGAATGGGCCAGGATTTTACATACCTCTGAGAGATATCTAAAATCCTGGCCCATTCTAGTAAGCATATAGAGAGGCTCTCTAAGGCGTCAGCAAAGGAATTCCAACGAACTTCACATGGCAATATTAACTTTGGTGCATTTGTGACTTTTCTAAAGCATGCACTTGAAAAATAAAATTCCTAAAATACTTAATTACATGCAAAATTTGTTTTCACACTTATCAATCATTTTTTCAACATTGCCTGTATTATCCGTCCCTAATGAACATAGTAAACACTTAAATTTTGACTGGCACTTTTTAATCGATATAACAGCAATGTCATAAAGATTTTCACCTGTATGAGCAATGCCAGAGGTGTCAATAGTATCAGCTAAATATGTGTTTCCATCTTTTGTTGTTAAAGTAACACAAATCACCGGTTAATTGTGAATGTTTAACCATCCATCTAATCCTATTATGACAATTTGACCTTTTAATATTTCTGCACATTTTTCTTTTATGTATGTCTTCTCTAATAAACCACAAGCAATTTCTTTTCTCGATGGAGGAAAATATTCTGGCCGAAAATTCTGAACCATTGTTGTTCTATACTGGAGGCGTTACTACTTCCAAAAAAATGAATCAAGGTAAGGTATCACTTACCTTGCTGTGTTCTGAATGATGGAAGCAGTAAGACCAACCTTACTCTTTTGTTTCTGGGCTTGGCATATAATATATTTAACAATAAATATCTAAGTACGAATGAAGACCAAGCTAATTAACATTTTAGTGTAATTTAATAAACATAACGATAAAAGATGAGCAACAAAAGTAGATGAGTAACAAAAAAGGAGAAAAGCGCCAAGCGCTTGTATCAAGTGACCGTTCACATTCAAACTGTTCTTAAAAGTTATTGAGTCTTATTCGTATTCGCTAGGGGGCTCTCACATCTTTCGATGAGGCTGCAACATACTCCCACCGATTTGTTTACTGGCAGATAACAAATCTTATTTATCAATGGGTTTGACGGCTCTGCCGTATCTGGTTACATAGGGTACGGCTCTGGATACACTGGCGGCAGGTCGCATCAATTCAGAGGAAGTGCTAGGAGAATCTGTAAAGGAAGAAGCTGGAAAGAGAAATGGATTAGTGTTTGGCTCACTTATCTCAAGAGAAAACAAGCGCTTTAATGTTCTATTTTCAGTTTTAACTTTGGCAAGTCTCACAACTTTGTCTTTTCCAGGCAACAGTTCAAGGATCTTAGCTAATGGCCAATGGATTCGACGCTTGTTGATGTCTTCAAACAAAACTACGTCGCCAACTGTAAGTTGATCAATCTTCTTGTCCTTTGAGGCTTGATATCGTAGTTGACCTAAGTACTCAATTCGAAATCTTCTTCGAAGATCATCTCTAATTCTCTGCCAATATTTGGCTCTCTTATCAATGTTGTCGATATCAGGAACTCCATAGGAAGGCAAATCTTGCAAGATCATCATGGGTGTCAAGGGGGATGGATCTTTGTTATCTTCGGTTACATAGGTTATTGGACGGGAATTGATGACTTGCTCACAATCACAAAGAATTGTGTTCAGTTCTTCATAATTCAAAGAGGTGCGACCTAGTACTTTTCTTAAGATTTCTTTGACCATACGTACTAGTCGCTCCCACCATTTGATGCATTTTCTGATGACATTTCTTTTGGTCTTCCTAGACTTCAATATCCAAACATTTTCTCTAAGGTGAGCCATTAACATGCTGACTCCAGCGTGATGTTTTTCTAGATGTTTCTCGAGAATCAGTCTTTGTACAATGTACCGTTACCCCTCTAGCTGTGATCTCTAAATTTAACTTTCGTAACGTGTTACCCAGGTTATACAGTAGACAAATATCTAATGAATTACAGGAAACTCTTAACATTTAAAACTCATTTTTATTGCAACTCTAAATCTTCAAAAAACATAATTCCACAAATTTCCAAATGCTAACATGGGAATAAACACTTCCATTTATACATTAATTAAAACACTCAAGCATAACCTTCAATTCATACAGTTCAAAAAAGATATTTAAGAAATAAAAACTGCATTTAACATTACTAAAAGCACTTAAGACTTGGTTTATGATGTCTATAAATCACACTTAAATACTCATTGTTCTCCTATACAAAAAAAACACAACATAAACAGTTCAGAATTTACGGTAAATAATTCCTCTAAAATGCTAACGAAATAAAATTTAAGGTTTTATAAGTACCCAAAAGAATTTACTGTTCGCCCTCTGGAAACGCCCACCGGAATGGTAGCCTTGTGGGCAAACTCCTCGGCTAGGATCTCAAAATTTCTCCAGCTATTCTAACTTCATTAGGCTTAGGCATGCAGAAGAGGAACACCGGACTTCCAGCATAGATACGTTCGGACTTGGCCCACCATCTCGAAGATATCGGCCTTCGGCTAATCACGGTCGTTCTTCCCGCTGGAGACTTCAGTTTAGCTTTCCTTAAGTTCACAATCCACCATCTCCGAGGTGCTGTCACGGACCACCTTTCCTGCGGACAAGCTCCGTATCCTCCGGGTTACTGCCCTCAGCCACACTCTTCACTTCTCTTTTATCCTCCCTTGAGCAAGGCGAAAGAATCTAGATTGACCTGTTTACCAAATCCAGAGTCATCCCGCATTCGGCGGACGTCAGAACCAATAAAAAAGATCCCTGAGAAAAAACAGTCATAAACCCACTAATCCCCTATAGAAGTTATAATACCATCCTCAATAAATATTAATAAATTTAGTTACCCAGATTTCACCCCAAAAATCCCATTTTAAAAGACTAATTCAAAATTTCTAAAAAAAGTATTATTATTATGGTTGAATTTAAACTTTATCCTAGTGGTGCCATCGACAGAAAAATAATCTATCTTTAAAAGTATAAAAAAAAACTATAATAAATTTACATTTATTACAACTACTGGATGACTTGATGGTAGGATGACAGGATAAAGAAAGTTCTTTTCATCTTTTCGATGTATAATACTCGTTTTTGCTCTAAATAGACCATTTTCGTCTTCAATAGGTCTTAATGCTTTGATGGACGGATCTTGTATGCCAGTGAAGGATTCTTTCTGGATGAGCTTGAAAAGTCTTCTTTCTGCTTTCTCAAATTCACCAACTGAAAGTTCTGAGGATAAATTTTTTTCAGCATTTCTAAAGTTGCAGAGCAGTCGCAATATCCAGACTATCATTCTCACTATTTTCCGGTGTGAAGAAAAATAGCGGTAGTACCAGTCAGGCTTATCTTCTTTGTCTAAGAGACTCAAAACTGTTTTCCTTTTTTCTCTATTTAGAACATCTTTATCGGGTTGTTCTTCTGCATGAGGCCATTTTTTTTTCTGGTAGATAGAGCCACGTGGGACCCTCTCACCATCTTGATTCCATTAACTGCTCAAAAGAACATCCACGGGAAGGCAGGTCTGCTGGGTTGTACTTTCCTGGTACGTGCTTCCAATCAGAAATTTTCGTTGAAGTTCTTATCTCCTGGACTCTATTGTGAACAAATGTTCCCCACGCTTGATCTCTTCTCATCCATCCTAGAGCTGTGGATGTGTGTTCTACAATACTCAAGTCTGTTAAGATGGTTCTAGCAAGTCTGGCTCCAATCAGACATGATAGGAGTTCTAGTCGTGGTATTGTCATTTCTTTAATCGGTGCAACTCGGCTTCCAGTATTTACTAGTTGTACTTGAACACCTTCTTTATTTTCAGTTCTCAAAAATGCACAAGTGGCAAAAGCTTGTTTACTTGCATCAGAAAAAATATGTAGTATTGTGATGTATTCATTTTGGTAATCTATATTGAGCCAACGAGGAATTTCTATTTTCGGTAGTAAATCTAATTGCTTAATCCAAGTGCTGAAATGTTTACTCAAATTTGGAGGAAGTTGTTGATCCCACTTTATTTTTTGAATCCTTGTCTGTTGTAAGATAAGTTTAGGAATTAAAGTTAAAGGAGCTGTGAAACCAATTGGGTCATATATTTTATGGGTTGCTGATAAAATTTGTCGTTTAGTGTAGGATTCCTTCATTTGAACTGGTTCGGTAATTTTGCAATTTAAAGTGTCTTTTTGTGTATCCCAGATTAGCCCTAACACAGGTACAGACTGTGGCTTACTTTCTGTACTATCGATCATCGGAACAGACATGTTTGATAGCCAGCATCTCAAATTGAAATGTGCTGAGGACAAAATTTCTTTGGCTTCACTAATAAACTTTTCAGTTTCTTCGATTTGATCTGAACTAACCAGAGAATTGTCAATATAAAAAGAATCTTTTAAAATCCGAGAAATTTCACTTAAATGTCCGGGAACAGCATTCAGCAGGTGATTTAAAGTGGCTGCTAGCAGAAAAGGACTGGATGTAAGTCCAAACACTACGCGGTTGTGCCTGTATGTCTTTAAATTCTGAGTCCTTAGTGCGAGCAGAGGCGTTAAAAACTTGTCTGGTTTTTGTGGTCTCGCTCGATTTTTTGAATACCGGCCTGTGGGCTAAAAAATGAACCTTTTCTTTCTCTTCATCATTTACCGCTTCAATTATTTTATTAGTTTCCCAATAGTCAAATATGTCTTAGTAATCTTTCTTTTTACTCTAATTAACTATTTTGGTTTCAGTTTTGAATAGGGACTTTTCAGCGATAAATCGGTTACTTGGCAAAACGGAACTGTCAGTTACCCAGGGCAAAGATACTTCTTACCTTCCGGTATTGTCTCGTTTTACAGTTTCTAAGAAATGTTTTTGGGTCTTTTCTTCTAACATACTTTTAGTTTTGTTTTCCTCACTAGAAATGCCCATTGTGTCTGTCGACGCTCAGGTAAATATGAGCTCATTCAATAAACAGAAATAGTGGACTGTAATATTTATTTATTATAATTTGGAAGAGAGTTTTTTTGTAGCTCGTTACAGCTCTCCTTCCACACACTCTCTCTCTAAGTGTTACAAGTTATACTAGGTGGGGCTACAAATCCGTGCGGATACATACCGCCGGGCGTTGCATTGTTTTAACAATCAACAATATTACTACAACTATCAACAATAGTGATGTGCGAAAAACGAACGAATCGATATTTTAATCAACTCTTTCTTGTGAATCGATTCATCAAGTTCGTTTTTGAAAAAGAATCGATTCTTTTTTTTTTTTTTTTT